CGTTGCTTGAAACTTTCAAGCGAATTCGCCTGATTATTTCTTGAAAACTTGTTCCATAGATCTGTTCGACGACCAGTCCGTACTAACTTTTCTAATTAAAAAAAAATGTTAAAGCTTAAATTAATTTTATGTTCCAACAACGTCGATTTCAAGAGACATCGAAGTCTAATGTCATTTTGAAGTGAATACGCAGCATTATTTTGAATTATATCACTTATTATAATCTGTCTAATGTGTTTAGTTTAATATTATGTATTTTGATTCCTCTGAGAGGAACAGTTCGGATATAATTTCCTTGTTTCGTATTATTTTGATTGTATAACATTAACATGCATTAAATTGCCTTCAGCGTTTTACATTTTAAAACTGATTATATTAATTTCTCATAAACGGGATTTTTGTGTTATATTATATAATTCAGCAACTTTAGATATAAATTCTACGAAACCCGTTTTCGGTTATTTTTATAGGTGTCGTAGAGCTTCCAATATGTCCCACACGCCTTCTTGAGCACCATAACCACACAACACAGTAGTCCAGGACGCACTAACGAGCCGTACAGGCTGATGACCCAACTTCTCCTCTTACAAAGAACGTCGCTTTTCGCTCCTATGCGTTACATAAGGCCAAAATTCAAGTTCAAGTATGTTTATTGAGACAAGAAAGAAATACATCTGAAAGGGATAGAGTAGCTTAGGCTACTTCTACCTCCCCACCAAACGGGCCAAAAAAATTGTAAAGGAAAATGGAAGTGGCTCACGAAAATTACCTACTGGCTCGTTTTCTGTTTTGGGTCCTCTGGTTGGTTAGGAGAGGCCACTTTATATTGACCGTTTTCTTTACGTTGTGGTACGTTAGGAGGACGGGCTGGGTGATGACCGCGGGTCACAACCTCACGAAGAGTCACCAGCGAGGCTAGAGTGAGGCATCGTTCACCGCATCTCGTTCTCACCATGCAACCCGTTCTCGCACTTGCGTATAGTCAATATTTTGCTTATGAATAAGTACGTATGTGATATACTAATTTATTGTGAATATTTGAGTTCACCTGAAAAGCTGAATAGAAAACCATGACCTAACCTAACCTTCTTAGTATGTTAAGATATTACAATTAGTACTTAACCTATACCTATATTGATATTACAGTTTTATAAAAAGAATAAAACAAAACTAAAATATTTAATAAATTGTAAAGTAATTCAGGATATTGTCAATTTTTTATAAAATCTCCAGAAAAGAAAAGTGAGTGCCTTGAAAAAAATACAATTTGGAATATACCACATATATACTTAATCATAACCCAAATATTGACTATAAGCAATAAGTCATATATGTGCTGTCTTTTGCAAGAGCTGGTTGCACCATGTGATAATACGCCTCAAATATTCAGTGGCAAGAAAATCAGTAGCAGCTGTGAGAAGGATTCGAACCTCTGTTCTGGATACTCTCAAGAACTGCCAGAATGCGTTGGGGGGGGGGAGAAGTGTGTGAAACCCTGATTAGGCCTTAGTGAAAGTCTTGGGAACCCCTAGAAGATTCGGTAGAATCCCAGGTTCCAATTGTTATGACCATGTCGTGGTGGCGTAGTGGTCTAAGGCGTCGTGTGCTTGGCAGTATCCCAAGGCATAGGTTCAAATCCTTAACATAGCTCCTACTGATTTCCTCATTAAAATACTTCACGTTAAAGATATTTCTTTTCGTATATGCAATAGTTTTTGTCTAGGCCCGGGCTAGTGGGCCCCGGGCAGCCCTCCCGGGGTAGAGGCGCCCTTGTCACCACACTGTTGCCAGTTTAAATTTAAAATTTTGCCCCCAAAAAAATCACTGAATACTTTAATCTTTTCCTCTCCTACCACCCCTATTAATTATGTTTTTTTTTATTTGATTCTATTGCAATGCTACAGTTTACAAAAAACACACACTTATATAACAATATAATATGAATTTTGAAATTTGAATTTTGGTATTCAGTAAAAAAATTTTGGCGAGTTTATTGGGCAGCGCCACTCATCCTGTGAGTGGACACACCGCCATAGTGACAGTATTGGGCAGCGCCACTCATCTTGTGAGTGGACACACCACCATAGTGACAGCATTGAGAGCAGCGCCACTCATCCTGTGAGTGGACACACCGCCATAGTGACAGTATTGAGCAGCGCCACTCATTCTGTGAGTGGACACACCGCCATAGTGACAGTATTGAGCAGCGCCACTCATTCTGTGAGTGGACACACCGCCATAGCAGCATGTACAACACTCCCCAATAGGAAGAAAACCCGCTGTGAGGCATCTGACAAAGTTGCTTCCTGGACTCTTGTCTCTATTGACGTTCATTACCTCTCTATGGTCTGGCCTGGGGCCCGACAGCTGAGTGGACAACGCTCCGGATTCGTAGACCTGAGATTCCGGGTTCGATTCCCGGTGGAGGCGGAAACAAATTGGTAAGTTTCTTTAACCCTGATGCATCTGTTCATCTAGCAGCAAATCGGTAATTGGGAGTTAGACAACGGCTACGGGCTGCTTCCTGGGGATGTATAACAAAAAAGGAGGCCTAGTTGGGAACCGGGCCACGGGGACGCTAAGGCCCCGAAATCATCTCATGATAACCTCAAGATAACCTCGCTGTGGTGTTCGTTCAGCGGCTTGAAAATTACCTGTAATTCAATATACACTCATTGTATTTATCTGAATTAAAACTCATCTGCCATTCATCAAACTAACTGAAGAAAAGGCTAATCATCCCGAGAGAAGTTAATATTACTGCAAGTTAGCTTGGGTGGCAGACCTGCGGCGGGAGCCTCCACCTCCAGCCTCACACACACCCGGCTGACGGACGGCCGGCTGTTGAGCCTCTTAACAAAAGTTTCCCTGACAACCTAACTGGAAAACTTTTGTTAAGAGTCTCAGTTCTCACCCCCCCCCCCACCCCCACCCCCCTTCCACCGTCCTCAGCCAGGCATTGAGGGATAAGACGGGGGAGGGAACTATCAGGGAGGGAAAGCGCCAAGCCATTACTACTATATAGCACTGGGAAGGGGTCAGGATATAAGGATTTGGGACGAGACGGGGAAAATGTAGTGGTGCCCAATATCTTGGACGGTCGGGGATTGAACGCCGATCTGCATAAAGTGGGTCCGTCGTTCTACCGTCCAGCCCAAGTGCTTGGACAAGGAAGGATAGGAAAATAACCAAAGGCGATAAGATCGGCCACGTGTCACACCGTCACCCTCTACACACACCAAACGAGTTAGTCGATGCTTGGACAACCACCTCTAGCTTCATTAATCTTCCCCCAGGACACACAGATCAGACTAAATGCTGGATAAGTAGAGAGAGGCTCGTTGGATTCATGCTCCACAAGGACGCTGAATGCAACGTGCCATTACTGAGTTTTTGAGTTACTCTCGGCCCTCCGAGTCCGAGAATAACAAATAATAAATACACACAAACACACACACACACATTGATCAAGGGTAAACCCACACCCCGGAGAGGACGGTGTTATGACATACTGTGTTTGCTGTCTTTAATACCAGGAAGTTCCCTCTTTAAGCTGTATAATATAAGCTATATTACCGAGGGACTTCCTTTCTCTTAGTCCAACAATGTCGTTCCAATTTTGAAGCCAGACCAAAAGAATGATTTCCGCCCAATTTCCCCTTACTAACTGCCTTTGCAGGTAGTATGGCCCTTTAAGTATAGTAAGACGGTTTCGGACCATTGGAGAGAATGGTCCTAAACCGTCTCCTCTACAGAATAAGAATAATGCTCTCCCTCAAGATCTATAACTTTACATGTGAAAGAAGTGCGCATCATTGCATTCCAACCTTTTGCATCTTGCACACGAAAGACTCGGATACCACCTTCCCCAGATCTCAAGTCTACATTTGGCACTGTAAATAAACATGTTATTCTGAGTGAGCTCACCAGAATGTAAATTATTGGTTGGCCTCGTTGTTGGATGGGAGATTACTTATCCAGCATGAAGCCAACTATGCTGTTCGAAAGGTGTAGGAGTGTAACGAGTGATTTTGGTGGGGCCAATAGCTATGGTGGGGCATCACTCAGGGTATGGGGCCAGGGGCATCACTCAGGGTATGGGGCCAGGGGCATCACTCAGGGTATGGGGCCAGGGGCATCACTCAGGGTATGGGGCCAGGGGCATCACTCAGGGTATGGGGCCAGGGGCATCACTCAGGGTATGGGGCCAGGGGCATCACTCAGGGTATGGGGCCAGGGGCATCACTCAGGGCATGGGGCCAAGGGCATCACTCAGGGCATGGGGCCAAGGGCATCACTCAGGGCATGGGGCCAAGGGCATCACTCAGGGCATGGGGCCAGGGGCATCACTCAGGGTATGGGACCAGGGGCATCACTCAGGGTATGGGGCCAGGGGCATCACTCAGGGCATGGGGCCAATGTCACAACTGTTCAAATGAAGTACCATAGATCTTTTGTTGATTATGCTCCTCCTCTGCTTGCTTCAGTGCCTGGAAGAAAGCTTGAAGGGCTTAAAAGTGCAAAGCTAAAAACTCCCTTGAGGATTATCCTTGAATGCCCGTTACACAAAGATCCGTAATATGAAAAAAGATCTCAGTATTCCGAGGGTCAATGATCGTGTTACTGAAATTAATGTTCTTATTGGTATGGAAATGTTTAGGTTTGCTGATCCTAACTCTTGCACACAAGCCATCCACAAACCGTATTTATTGAAGGCAACATTGATCATAATGGATTACACAAACTGTAACTTAACTCAAGATGATTATATTCACAATTTGTACCAAGAGACAACAACGGCACTTTCCTGCACCGTGGGATATTACATATTTTCCAATTTTAAACCATCCCTTTCCACCCATGAAACAAATTAGAGATCAGCCCAAGCTTCGTCTTGAAGCAAAGCTCAACGTCTTAAGCCATATTGATGCTCTCTCCACAGATGGCATGCCCTCTCTCTCAAATCATATACACTGATGGTTCTCTACACCGCTCCACAGGTGCAGGTGGAAGTGTCTCTCAGATCATATACACTGATGGTTCTCTACACCGCTCCACAGGTGCAGGTGGAAGTGTCTCTCAGATCATATACACTGATGGTTCTCTACACCGCTCCACAGGTGCAGGTGGAAGTGTCTCTCAGATCATATACACTGATGGTTCTCTACACCGCTCCACAGGTGCAGGTGGAAGTGTCTCTCAGATCATATACACTGATGGTTCTCTACACCGCTCCACAGGTGCAGCTGGAAGTGCACTTGTCCTGACAATGGGCGATGGTTTATACTTTGAGTGGGGAGTCCGTATAAACAACTGGGCCTCTACCTCTACAGACCGAACTATTTGCCTTGCTTCTTGCACTGAAATGTGTACAAATCTCCAAACTTGATACATTAGTTGTAAGTGACTCTTTATCATCCTTAAATGCTCTCAACTCTTTAAGACATAACTGTAACATGCTCGTGTCTGAAGCTAGACACAAATACAACAAAAATATTAATGTTGGTAACAGAGTCCATTTCATGTGGATTCCATCCCATGTTGGCCTCCGAATGCATGATAGAGCTAATGAGTTAACCAAAGAATCTTGAATTGCCCGTAAACAGCTTGAGAACTATAATTCACAAAAACCTTCAACGAAACCTAATAGAACTGAGGCAAAGTGAAATTTACATTACTAATTCCTTCTATCATCACACTATCATGCAAGAAAAGACCCACATTTATGGATCATCCAATAAAATCAGCAGACTCCTAGATGCATCTCGGCTGAGACTCAGCTACAAGTATCTCTGGGAATTCTCTTTACCTGCTGATGTGGACCTGACCAAATGTAAAGTGTGGCAGCTAAATTATTCGCACACCCATATGAAAAAAGGTCTGATTTGCAACATATAGACACGGAGACCGAAGACACATTGAGGTTGCTGTGTCTGGATCCTGGACGAGTGACTAGATCCTAAAAAGAGACGATCTGGGTCGTAGTGAATTAGGAGATCGGTCCAAGAGAAAGAGATGATATGGGTCCTAGACAGGGAGGGAGACGGTCTAGGTGCTATAGTGAGGGGTAACTGAGGTCCTAGAGAAGGAGGCAATGCTGCACTTAATGAAAATTTCCATCTTGGTCCAACGACAGGAAGTGATGTGGGCTCCATAATACTAGACAATCTTCGTCCTATAGAAGAATTGTATCTAGATCCTACACAATATTGTGACCTTGCACCACCCTAAGCTATAAGCCAAATACTGACATATTTAGAGTTTAATAAGTACTTGATGTATAATTCACCTCCTGTTTAGCTGAGAGGCAGAAATGGATTTAATAAAGCTACATAAACCTCAGATGTGACATTATCGAGGTTTGAAGATAAAGAGTTAATGACCTTATCGAGACATACAAAGCGTTTAATACAGTTTAAAAACTTACCTTATTAGAGTTTAAAGATGATCTTAGCGTTGTCAAATGAGTATTGCAGATGACCTTAATAGAGCTGGATGAGACTCCCAGTTGACCTTACAGGGGTTACACGAAGGTCAGAGTCATCTTCGATGACCCATGACTCTTGATGGCGCCAGACGACTGTATTTTACACTCGATCAAGTTCAGAAGGTCACGACGAACTTAACGGTCGATAAGTCATGAGCACCTCTCAGTAACCCTCGACACAACTTTGCACAATCATACTATAATATAGTCCAACTTGAGTATAATTGTTCTGCATATTTCCTATTTTCTTTTCTCTTTCGTCTGTGTAAGTAATCACATAATTTGATGAGAAACAATCACATAACAGTCATTGTAGAGGCAAGATCTACAGATCTTGCGATTGTACAGGCCAAGTGCAGGAACAACTGTACACTCTGTAAGGAACATGGTATAATTGTGTATTGTGCCAGCCGACTGCTTCACAATCACTGACAAGAGGTGATAAGTTGGTCAGGATTCACTAATCATTTACACAACCATTTACACACCCATTGACACAACCATTGACACAACCATTTACACACCCATTGACACAACCATTGACACAACCATTTACACAACCATTTACACACCCATTGACACAACCATTTACACAACCATTTACACACCCATTGACACAACCATTTACACAACCATTTACACACCCATTGACACAACCATTTACACAACCATTTACACACCCATTGACACAACCATTTACACAACCATTTACACAACCATTTACATCCTTCCCTCGATCACGGTGGCTTTGTTTACAGTTATTCAACAGTTTACGAATTTCGAAACTTGAGGGTCAAAGGTTATTATTGTTATGAACAATCTCGTATAGTGCTTCGGAGCTCATTTACTCCTTAATAAATGTAAACAAAGCCGACATTGTTGAAGAAAGATGCACAGGTTTCGTAAATGGTTGTGTAAATGGGTATATAAATGGTTGTGTAAATGATTGTTTAAATGGGTGTGTAAATGTTTGATGAATCCTAGCTGGATATTTCATTTGAATCTTTGCACGCGTGAACGCTTGCATCACTGTTAATGTGTTAAGTCTTGGAGATCTTGATGAGAGTGGAACAATTTCAAACTTACGTCAAAATCTCCAGATGGTGAAACAAAGTCAATGTTGACTTAAGTGTCGACCCCCATCCTCATGTAATGCTTGTCCAAGCTGCAGCCGTCCCCCCAACCCATCGACAGCCCGTCCAAGCCTCTGCCGAGCCCAAACCATCATCAAGCTGGGCGCATCTAAGCTCCAGTCACCCTTAAACCAATCCTCACCCAATTACGGGCTATTCATGCCTGTGCCACCTCTTGGGTGGCTTAATCTTTATCAATCAATCATCCTCACTCAAACTGTTGGCGTTCTCAACTCATCTTCAGGCCTTACTCATCTATCTGATTGTCGCCGATGGAGGCGGCTATTGTATCGTGCACCCAGTACTCATCCTGTGAGCGGTAGCGCAAAAAAAGGATTACAGAGGGTACAAAAGATCTTTTTCGGACCTTAACGGAGATTATTACATTAACAATTACATCTATCCTGCACGCCTTATAACTCAAGTTGTGACAATTGCCAATCCTGGCCTGGCAGTTAGTGCTAACTATTCACACTCACAACACCCGCGATTGAAAATTAGACATAGACGAAGAACTACATATCAAACACTCGGCCAACTATAACAACCCAGCTTGCACTAAGGTGCACATTATCATCATCCAGACCGATACATCCGCCGTCCCGACAGACCAGGCCCGACCAGGCCCGACCAGGGCCCGACCAGACCCGACCAGCGCCCGACTAGGGCCCGACCAGGGCCCGACCAGACCCGACCAGCGCCCGACCAGGGCCCGACCAGGACCCGACCAGGGCCCGAGCAACGGCATCTGTCCCAGCAAAAGTTCAACATCTCCATTCCTGACGTAGTCGACAAAAGCCACACCCCAGATCATGGAGGAACTCAGAGCATGGAGGAACTCAGAGCATGGAGGAACTCAGAGCATGGAGGAACTCAGACCCTGGAGGAACTCAGAGTATGGAGGAACTCAGACCATGGAGGAACTCAGAGCATGGAGGAACTCAGAGTATGGAGGAACTCAGACCATGGAGGAACTCAGAGCATGGAGGAACTCAGACCATGGAGGAACTCAGAGCATGGAGGAACTCAGAGTATGGAGGAACTCAGACCATGGAGGAACTCAGAGTATGGAGGAACTCAGACCATGGAGGAACTCAGAGCATGGAGGAACTCAGAACATGGAGGAACTCAGAGTATGGAGGAACTCAGACCATGGAGGAACTCAGAGCATGGAGGAACTCAGAGTAAGGAGGAACTCAGAGTATGGAGGAACTCAGACCATGGAGGAACTCAGACCATGGAGGAACTCAGAGCATGGAGGAACTCAGAACATGGAGGAACTCAGAGCATGGAGGAACTCAGAGCATGGAGGAACTCAGAGCATGGAGGAACTCAGAGCATGGAGGAACTCAGAGCATGGAGGAACTCAGAGTATGGAGGAACTCAGAGTATGGAGGAACTCAGAGTATGGAGGAACTCAGAGTATGGAGGAACTCAGACCATGGAGGAACTCAGACCATGGAGGAACTCAGAGCATGGAGGAACTCAGAACATGGAGGAACTCAGAGTATGGAGGAACTCAGACCATGGAGGAACTCAGAGCATGGAGGAACTCAGAACATGGAGGAACTCAGAGTATGGAGGAACTCAGAGCATGGAGGAACTCAGAGCATGGAGGAACTCAGAGCACAGAGGAACTCAGACCATGGAGGAACTCGGAGCATGGAGGAACTCAGAGCATGGAGGAACTCAGAACATGGAGGAACTCAGAACATGGAGGAACTCAGAGCATGGAGGAACTCGGAGCATGGAGGAACTCGGAGCATGGAGGAACTCGGAGCATGGAGGAACTCAGACCATGGAGGAACTCGGAGCATGGAGGAACTCAGAGCATGCACAAAATATCAAGAAGAGCTGACACAGGAGGAGTGGAAGAGACCCGTTGGTGGACACAAGCCGAGACAATCCATCACTGCTGCGTCATCAGTCAACCTAACCCGATTACCCGGCCGAGCGGGACCCTATACTGTAAGAGTCACAACACCAGGAAGACCAGACAAACAGGTGAATGAACCATAGGGAAACATAAGTACAACGCCTGGAGAAAGGACCACTCACCACCAAGCCCCCGACTCACCACACACACACATACACACACACACATCAGAAGGAAAACAATATTGAAGGGACAGGTAATGAAACTGAGGATAGAGGCAGACAGGTTCTCTACTAATGGTAAGGTGTGTGAGGAAGTCAGTAAGAGATTCCATGAGGTCTTCACAACACAGCAAGACGTTTCTGAACTAAGAGAGAAAATCTGTTACTAGACATCGCTGGAGGACTTTGAGATTACCAGTGGTGGGATACGGAAAACATCCAAGGAATAATGTTACTAATAATCTAAATGGAGTTTCCCCTAAAAGCAGGCTCCATCTTCTTGGCGTCTCAGGGCGCCACCATGACGAGCTCCAGCCTGCCCGGCCTATGATCTATTGACGCTGGAGGCAAAGGGGTTTTAATTGATCCTAAATTAGTATTATTAATTTTAGCTTATCACCTGTACCTTAACTTTGTGCTAAGGTATTTACTCTCATTAATAGACATATTAATGACTAATTAATAATTAAATTATATAAATTAACATTCCCTCAAACTGTCAAATGAGTAGATGTTGTGGGAAGTCGGCCATTATATACGTCTGGCCGCGACCCGCTGTTGTTGTTCACACCACGCTCGACCTACAGATGGTTTTCTTCCATTATTTGGAACTTTTCGTTTTATTTTGACCACCATATGAACGAGAGTTGTTCCAGCGGACATAATTAACACATTAAGAAGTATTACTGTGTTGTACAGACTATATTCCGTGCTGTAAACTGCACCAGGACGCCGGGCACCACGTGCTCCCAGCTGCCCGGCTGGGAACATGTTGTTGCCCAACAGGAATTGGGAACAAACTAGCAGAACATCTGGAGAGAGAACGTTGAAACACATCACCAACATGGATTGAGAGATGGCAAATCTTGCCTCACAGATTTTATGGAATTGTATGACCAAGCGACAAAAATTAAACAAGAAAAGGATTGGCAGACTGCATATTTTTGGACTGTCGGGAGGCCTTTGACACAGTTCTCTATAAGAGACTAGTGCAAAAGTTGGAGGTGCAGGCAGGAATAACTGGGAAGGAACTCCAGTGGATAAGGGAGTACCTAAGCAACACAAGACAGCGAGTCACTGTGAGGGGTGAGGTCTCATTGTGGCAAGACGTCACTAGTGGAGCTCCCCAAGGTTCAATACTTGGACCTATCCTGTTTCTCATATATATAAGCGATTTCCCAGAAAGAATAGACTCCTTCCCCTCAATTTGTGCTGATGATGCGAAAATTATGAGGAGGATTAAGACATAGAAAGATAAAAAGTGGCTACAAAATGGCCTGAATAATTAAATTTCTTTCTTTATTATGCACCCCATACCAATCCCGTGGGCGGTGGTGTAAAGGGTTACAGAGGTATATAATCGGTTCAGGAACTGAGCCCCCTAGTTCATTTAACTAAGCAAATAACAATCTTTTGACGCTAGTTACACAATTATTAGTGCCTGGACAAACTGAAAAAATGGTCGAACAAATGGCTATTGAGCTTTAACTCATGTAAATATTAAGAAATGACGTTTGATGCAAGGAGCAAGAGGCCCGACACAAGGTACCAAATGGGAGACGAAGTCCTCTATGAAATGGACAAAGAGGAATTGATATCACAATCTAGGAATTGATATCACACCAAACCTGTCGCCTGAAGCCCACATAAAAAGGATATCATCAGCAGTGCATGCGAGGCTGGCAAACATCAGAACTGCCTTTAGAAATTTGCGTAAGGAATAATTTAGAATCTTGTATAACGCATGTTAGACCAATCCTGGAGTATGCAACTCCAGAATGGAGTCCATACCTTGTCAAGAAATGGAGGTATGAAAACACACCCACAGACGGCTGAGTAGGGGGGGAGGCTAGGCCTCGCGGCTGAATGGACAGCGCTCTGGGGTTCTAGTCCTAAGGGCCCAGGTTCGATCCCCGGGCAAGGCAGAAACAAATGGGTAGAGTTTCTTTAACTCATTCTAGGAATTAGTGTGTGAGAGAGAAAAATGATGTAGTAGACAGATATAGAAAAATAGGTCGGGATTCGATTAGAAAGTTTGGGTCCTAGAGCTAATACCTTGATCGTGTAGGTACAAGTAATAAAAATATTAAAGAATTAATAAAAAGCACACACTATATATATATATATATATATATATATATATATATATATATATATATATATATATATATATATATATATATATATATATATATATATATATATATACTCGAATCCATGGTGCACAAAGCAGCTTTATCCTTCCCACCAGGATCAGCAGGTGGGTTCACAGGACTACGACCCAACCACATCAAACAAATGCTCAACCTGCACTGGGAGACATTGCACAGGGCCTCCTGGTGGAACTAACTAGATTCGCCAACACATGTCTAGCTGGCAACATACCAGAGACCATACGGCCTCTCTTTTTTGGCGCTACCCTCTGTGCCCTGAGGAAAAAAGATGGAGGAATCAGACCGATAGCTGTCGGCAATTCACTCCGGCGTCTCGTCGCTAAGGCTGCTGCTAGAGCAGTTAGTCAGGCAGCAGCCGACATGCTGAAGCCAAAACAGCTTGGGTTTGGCATTCCCCAAGGGTGTGAGGCAGCGGCTCATGCAGCTAGAGCCTACATTGCCAACATTACGGATGAAAAAGCCCTGATAAAGTTGGACTTCAAAAATGCTTTCAATCTGGTTAGAAGGGATGCAGTACTCAGTGCAGTTCATCGCCTTTTCCTTCCCTCTACCCGTTTGTAAACTCATGCTACAGCAAGAATCTAACTCTGCTTTTTGGGGAACATGAAATTGAATCACAAGAAGGTGTCCAACAAGGTGACCCCCTTGCTCCTTTTCTGTTCTGCCTAGTTATCAAGGAAGTCACCGATAACCTGTCCAGTGAGCTCAACATTTGGTTTTTGGATGATGGTACTCTAGCCGGCTCCCCAGCCTCACTCTTGGACGACATAAGAATAATCCAGGAGCAAGGAGCAAGCCTAGGCCTCACCCTGAACCCTTCCAAGTGCGAAATAACCTCCACCAACCAGCACATAATAGAGCAAATAAAGGTTGTTTTGCCTGACATTCATACAACCAACCCTGAGGACAGCACACTCCTAGGTGCTCCTCTTGGAAGGAATGCCATCGACGGGGTCCTTGGTAAGAAGATCACTGACCTGAAGAGGATGAACGAGAGGATTGAAGACATCGATGCTCATGATGCACTTTACCTCATCACCAGATGCTTGTCCCTTCCCAGGCTGACCTACTTTCTAAGATGTTCGCCATCTTTCAACAATATTAAATTAGAAGAGTATGACAGCTTGCTGAAATCAACACTAGAAAAAGCCCTCAATCTTTCCCTCAGCGACTCACAGTGGAAACAGGCCTCCCTTCCTGTCAGACTCGGGGGCCTTGGCGTGCGCACAGCAACACAAATTGCTGTACCAGCATTCCTGTCCTCTTCAGTGGGGTCTGACAACCTGGTGAAGGAAATCCTACCTGAGCACCTAGTTCAACAGGCAGGGGTGCATGATCCCAGCTTCACAGACTGCACAACCAAATGGGTCTCTCTCGCAGGACCAGCACCCCAACCACCGCCTTCTGAAGCCCATAAGCAATCCAGCTGGGATCGCCCCATTGCCGACCAAGAAGCTGCAACTTTGCTAGAAGCTGCGACGACACCACATGACACTGCCCGACTTAGAGCTGTAGCAGCTCCCCATGCAGGTGATTTCCTATTAGCAACCCCAATGTCAGCAACCGGCACCCGTCTCACACCGCAGGCCCTCCGAATTGCCGTGGCTCTCCGCCTAGCTGCCCCAATCCACACCAAATACAGGTGTATTTGCGGCGAGGCAGAGGCCGACAGATACGGAAGGCATGGCCTTCTTTGCCAAAGGACGGGAGGATGGCATGCAAGACACGGCGAGGTTAATGACATTATTAAGAGGAGCCTTACCACAGCCGGTTGTCCAGCAGAGAGAGAGCCCCGTTACCTAATGTCCCGCAACTCTGATGAGCCTGTCGGTCGCCCAGACGGAATTACGGTGAACCCCTGGAAGAATGGTAGACAGTTGGTGTGGGATTACACTTGCGTTTCAACTTTGGCCAGTACCTATGTTGACTTCAGTGCTACACAAGCAGGAGGAGCTGCCAATCACCGGGAAGCGGCCAAGTCACGTAAATACAGAGACCTTGAGCACCACTACAATTTTGTCCCCATTGCCTCAGCAGCGCCTTAGTGTGGCAATCCAGAGAGGAAATGCTCACTGCATCCATGGTTCCTGCCCGCCATCTGAGGAGCTGGAGGAGCTATTCAACTTGTGACAAGCAGCCTTGTACCCTGCATGTAATCAATATTGTAACTTTTTTTGTGTAATGACATTTTCAAATAAAGTTAGATAAATATACACACTTAACAAAAGAATAGGGGTGGTAGGAGAAGAAAATATCAAAGTGTTCAGTGAGGATCCACAAGGTCTTCTCTGAGTACTCTTTATTTTCTTCTCCGAGGCTATGGGTCCCTACATTTGCACCAGAGGTGGTACCCCTTCTAGGGTATTAAAAAAAATATATATATATATATATATATATATATATATATATATATATATATATATAAATATATATATATAGATATATATATTGGGTGAAGTAGGTTTCCTGTTGTTAGGTTAGAATTTATTTTCATATCCAACTTAAGCTTGTTGTCTCGTGTGCAAGAGATCAGATCACATCACTCGCTCCACTGATTAACTGATCAGATGATATTACTTGAATCACTCATTTCTCGAAGATGTAAAGGCAAAATAAATGATTTAAGTAGTTAAATATTTGAAATATGTGACTTGACCTCACATGACCTGCAGCACAGGTGTGTTCTCTGGTAAGGTCAGATGTGACGTCACTCTTGACCCAGAATAAATCACTGAGAAATCACACGTCACAGATGTCTACCAATAATTATTAATTCAAATGGCGACACTCTGGTTAAGGGTACAGGTATATCACAGTCAAATACGCCATTAGTAGTACTAACTTTACGGAAATTTATGCAAATCACTGACATGATATCGCGCGAGAAAGATAAAAGTTTAAAACTTTGGCTATGAAACTAAGCTCTGTACAAGAGCTGGTGCTTCGCAAGATTAGCTGAAACAGCGGGTGGTGCCTCGTAAGGTGAGGTGAAACACGCACGATCACACTTCAAAAACATTATGTTCCATCTAACTTTTGCGTGTGAATTAATGAGAGTGCTCTCCACCCGAGGCTTCCCCACATTTTGGTGCTAACGTACCGGACGCGCACTCAGTACCTCATCTTCCTTCTAAGTTTTGCGCGCGAGTAAGTTAGATTCCCCACAAAGGTCGCGGCAGCCGAGCAAGCAAGGAAGGGGACGAGCGAGAGCGTGCTCTTGCCTCTCCGGCGTCCGCAGACATACTGACTGGGGAACAACAATAGCGAGGTCTCATATGCGCCCAGACTCATATTGTCTATAATAAGATGCACACCGAAGGCCCGTCTTCAAGTTCCTCTTCGTCTCCCGACCCAGCCACAGACACGGCTGTGTGTGTGTGTGTACTCACCTATTTGTACTCACCTATTTGTGTCTGCAGGATCGAGCATTGACTCTTGGATCCCGCCTTTCGAGCCATCGGTTGTTTACAGCAATGACACCGGTCCTATTTCCCTATCATACCTAGTTTTAAAATTATGAACAGAGTTTGCTTCCACAACCTGCTCCTTAAGTGCATTCCATTTTCCCACTACTCTCACGCTAAAAGAAAACTTCCTAACATCTCTGTGACTCATCTGAGTTTCCAGCTTCCACCCATGTCCCCTCGTTCTGTTATTATTCCATGTGAATATTTCGTCTATGCCCATTCTTGTCAATCCCCCTGAGTATTTTATACGTTCCTATCATGTCCCCCCCTCTCCCTTCTTTTTCCTAGTGTCGTAAGGCACAATTCCTTCAGGCGCTCTTCATACCCCATCCCTCGTAACTCTGGGACGAATCTCGTTGCAAACTTCTAAACCTTTTCCAGTTTCCTTATGTGCTTCTTCAGATGGGGACTCCATGATGAGGCGGTATACTCTAAGACTGGCCTCACGTAGGCAGTGTAAAGCGCCCTAAATGAATCCTTACTTAGGTTTTTGAATGAAGTTCTAGCTTTTGCCAGTGTTGAGTACGCTGCTGTCGTTATCCTATTTATATGTGGCTCAGGAGATAGATTAGGTGTTACGTCCACGCCCAGGTCTCTTTCTCGCGTCGTCACAGGTAGGCAGTTCCCCCTTCATTGTGTACTGTCCCTTTGGTCTCCTATCACCTAGTCCCATTTCCATAACTTTACATTTGCTCATGTTGAACTCCAGTAGCCATTTCTCTGACCATCTCTGCAACCTATTCGAGTCCTCTTGGAGGATCCTACAATCCTCACCTGTAATAACTCTTCTCATCAACTTTGCGTCATCCACGGACATTGACATGTAGGACTTTACTCCTGTAAACATGTCGTTAACATATATTAGAAATATAATTGGTCCCAGCACCGATCCTTGAGGTACTCCACTCGTTACGGTTCGCCAGTTCGACTTCTCGCCCCTTACCGTAACAATTTGGCTCCTTCCTGTTAGGAAGTTCCTTACCCATGCTAGGACCTTTCCCCCCACCCCCGCCTGCCTCTCGAGTTTGAACAGCAGTCTCATGTGCGGTACTGTATCAAAGACTTTTTGACAGTCCAGAAATATACAGTCTGCCCAACCTTCTCTGTCCTGTCATATCCTTGTTATTTTGTCATAGAATTCCAGAAGGTTTGTTAGGCAAGATTTCCCTGTCCAGAACCCATGTTGATGTGTGTTTACAACTCTAACGTTCTCCAGGTGTGCAACCAGTCGTAGCCTAATTATTCTCTCAAGTATTTTACCTAGTACTTTGCCTGTACTCACCTAGTTGCGCTTGTAGAGGTTGAGCTTTGGCTCTTTGGTCCCGCCTGTGTGTGTGTGAGTATCCACCTAGTTGTGCTTGCAGGGGTTGAGTTTTGGCTCCTTCGGCCCGCCTCCTCTACTCTCAATTTACTGATTTTTTTTTTCACACACACACACACATCCCCAGGAGCAAGCTGTCTAACTCCCAGGTACCTATTTACTGCTAGGTAACAGGGGCATCAGGGTGAAAGAAACTCTGCCCATTGCTTTTCGCCAGCGCCGGAAATCAAACTCCGGACCACAGGATTACATGTCCAGCGTGCTGTCCACTCAGTCACCGGCCCCCGCTGGTGGCTGAGTGTGGGTGCTGTGTATGTGTTTGTGTGTGTGTGTGTGTGTGTGTGTGTGTGTGTGTGTGTGTGTGTGTGTGTGTGTGTGTGTGTGTGTGTGTGTGTGTGTGTGTGTGTGTGTGTGTGTGTACTCTCTGTTCATATTGTACTCGCCTAATTATGCTTGTTTCAGTTCTTTGGTCCCTTTTGTCAGTATTTAATAAACAAACAAAAGGGCATATTCCACATGTGATACACAATTTAGCTCTGTCATATTTTTTTTACTTGATCAGAGACTGAGTTGTGTGGTTACATTGATCCCCGGAATCAGCACAAGGTAGACCACCTCCCTTCACAGACCATTTGTTCACTCTCAGACATAAACAACTCTTACCAACTTTGACTCATTTGGATACTTACTTTCCTTATTAAGACTACCCAGTAGTTCGGTCGATAGAGCTTCGGCCTGACACGAGTGGGGGCCGAAGGTTCGAATCTCGTAGAACCCAGGTGACTGGAACTCTACACTGATGTTATATATTCCATATGTGATCTTACTCTAGAAATATCCAAGGTCCTGATTGGTTCTTTAATCAAATTACATCTAATAGTAATTCTTAATGAGTGTGCGTACTCACCTAATTGTGCTTGAGGGGTGGGAAAGGGCTTCGGCACTTTGGCCCCGCCTCTATTATATCTATATCTGAAAGTTTGAATGGCGTCTGCCTCCACCACCTCGTCTCACTTCAGGCCATATGCTCTGACACTACACAAAACTGTAATGACTCTGGTTCATTGTGGAACTCAGATTTCATCTGTCCCCTTTAAGTGAGTGACACCCGTTCTAAATAGTCTGTCTTTATCTAGCTTATCAAATGCCCTGAGAATTTTGTATGTGGTAATCATGTCACCCAACACGCTTATCTCTCTTCCAACAACGTGAAATTTAATTCATGTAGCCCTTCCTCGTCAACCCGTTCTCGCAAATTTAATAAGTCAATATTGACTTATTAACTACGTGCATAGGTGATATACTAAACATAATAGATACCCCTAAAAAGATTCATAGAAAACACCGACCTTACCTAACCTTGTTAGTATCTTAAGATATGGACAATTCTGGTGGCGTTACTCTGAACCTTCTCTAACTATGGCTTGTGGTTTACGATATATGAGACGCTGGAGCCACATACTCTAGAATTGGTCTGATATACGTGATATACAAAGTTTTAAATAATTCATTACGCAAGTCTCTAAAGACAGTTCTTATGTTGACCAACCCTGAATATTCCGCTGATGATATCCTTTTGATGTGGGCTTCAGGGGTTTGAGGTTGGGTATGAAGAGAACCCTGGGCCCCTGTACTGTACACCGCGGCCTCCTTGTTCAACACCTTCATCTCCCATGGCGCCTGACAGCTGGGTGGACAGCGCTTCGGATTCGTAGTCCTGAGGTTCCGGGTTCGATCCCCAGTGGAGGCGGGGGACAAATAGACAAAAAGTTTCTTTCACCCTGATGCACCTGTTACCTAGCAGTAAATAGGTACCTGGGAGTTAGACAGCTGCTACGGGCTGCTTCCTGGGGAGGGGTGTAACAAAAAGGAGGCCTGGTCGAGGACCGGGCCGCGGGGACGCAAAGCCCCCCGAAATCATCTCAAGATATCCTCAAGATAACCCATCAGGCACCTGTGTCCGGCCTCACGCTCTCTACACCTAGTTTCATTACACTTCAGTCATTCAGTTTGTTCAAGTCATCTTAAAGTCTCTTGCTATCTTCTGTCTTAAGCCTCCTCGGGATTTTGACATCACTAGTAAACATTAAGAAGGAGGAAGAGTGAAGTCATTCTTGATGATCACAGACGAGACGGGTCCCAGCACTTCCCCTTGTGGGGACTCGTGACACCTCGCTCTCAAGTTCAAGTATGTTTATTGAGATAAGAAAGAAATATATCTCAAAGGAATAGAGTAGCTTAGGCTATTTCTACCCCCCCCCCCCCCCAAGCCCCGCTCTTTCTCAGCTCTCTCAGAGCTGACACACCCTCAACCGTCACTCTCTGGTAGTTATGGCTGTATCCACTATTCGTACCGGCAATATCGAGCTCTTAGCTCTTGGACCCCCACCTTTCTAACACTTCGGTGATTAATGTATTCACTCCCTACTTATTTTTCGCAGTCATTATTGAATAAATAAATTAATTGTAATTCATTTATATTTATTTATGTAAGTAAACAAAACAACAAAATGAGAATCATGTCACTTGCTTAACAACACGAGGGAAAACATCGGCCAGCCTTCCAGAACATTCCAGAAGGCAATTTATTAGATTTTGAATCAGCAATAAACATTCTCTAACTTCCATTTTACGACCACAAATGAAAGCTCTCGATTAAAACATAGTTACTATATAGTAGTTACGTGTTTTCTTAAACTGGAGTTTATTAAACCAACACAAGAGACTGTATCTGGTTTACTTAAACTTGTAGTTGATTTACCAATAACTGGAATTAACTCATAGAAGCATGGATGAGGCTTGTGCATACATGGCATCCGATCATCCACAAATACACCTTTATAGATAATACATTTATTCTCAACACGTTCATACCAACGTATAATAACCCGCAGATATAAATCAGTTACATTTATAGCACCATAAGGTATTGGTTTGAAGCAAAACATTAAATAGATATGTTCTTTATAAACCACTGGGCAGCCTCAGGCCTCGCCGGAGTGTAAGCGACCACAACACAGCCGCTCCCCTACCAACAGTGAGCCAGGAGTCACAGTTCACCACCAACAGTGAGCCAGGAGTCACAGTTCACCACCAACAGTGAGCCAGGAGACACAGTTCACTGTCAACAGTGAGCCAGGAGGCACAGGTCACCACCAACAGTGAGCCAGGAGGCACAGTTCACTGTCAACAGTGAGCCAGGAGACACAGTTCACTGCCAACAGTGAGCCAGGAGGCACAGGTCACCACCAACAGTGAGCCAGGAGGCACAGTTCACTGTCAACAGTGAGCCAGGAGACACAGTTCACCACCAACAGTGAGCCAGGAGTCACAGTTCACCACCAACAGTGAGCCAGGAGGCACAGTTCACTGTCAACAGTGAGCCAGGAGTCACAGTTCACCACCAACAGTGAGCCAGGAGTCACAGTTCACCACC